GCAACAACATTATGTCAAAGAAACAATAAGATTAAACTGGTGCAGTGACTCAGCCCTTTTTAGCAGACTTAAAAATAGGGGATTATTATGTAAAAAGTACTTATCATGAAGAGAGGAAGTCAAGCATGGCAAACGTATACAGAGTTAAAATTATTACATGTAAAAAGCAAAAAGGTACCTGAGATGTAGAACAACTACATTTTTGTGGCTCTAGATTGCAGAACACTAATTTTTGTTAAAAGTTCACATGGCAAAAGAAAATGTTTTTGAAAGTCTGAATTGTTTCTCAATTGTTAACTCGCAATCAGCATCTAATAATTCTAACAGAAAGCATGAGATTCTGCAAAATTAAGGTACCTTNNNAGAACACTAATTTTTGTTAAAAGTTCACATGGCAAAAGAAAATGTTTTTGAAAGTCTGAATTGTTTCTCAATTGTTAACTCGCAATCAGCATCTAATAATTCTAACAGAAAGCATGAGATTCTGCAAAATTAAGGTACCTTTTCATATAGAGTCACAATTTTTTTTACAATAGTATGTTTAATGAAAGCTAGCACATTATTAAAAGAACTCTTGAAAAAATAATTGCATTTTAAACAAAATGATTTTTTCCAATTTCTTTGGCACACAATAACCCCATCCACTTATCATGAAATTAATAATTGACAGGATCATATGGGACGTCTGCATGAGACAATGAATACAGGAACTGAAAAATGTGATTATATACATGTACATGTTTACATCCTTTCTAGGCATTGCCAGAGTTGTTGCATGAACTGCAAAAAAAATGCATCTTATGGTTACTTAAACTCAACTCAACAACGTAACTGTTTCATACTTATGAGAAGTACTCCTCTAGAGATGGTGGTTCCACTCCAACGTATGCCCCTGTATTGTTTCCATAAAGACATGTCAGGGCATTCCTAAGCAGAGCACTCACTATGTAATGTTTGCCATCTGGACTTAGACCAATTTTGAGATTTTTTTGAAATCCAAACATTTAAATGATCCAATAACATCACCGAACACCCACTCAACTGAGAAAGGGACTAAGCTCATGGCACTATTGAAGTCCTCCTTAGCGGGAGTCAGTCGTTCTTTGAAGGGTCCTTGCAGGTGGATGCAATGGGGATAAGCGGGGTCCCCATAGAGACACATGGCCTCACCAGTGGCACTAAATCCATGAGCTTTAAGGTCATCCAGGAGATGAGAATCTTTCAGCATTCCTGCATCATGTTTCTTCCCTCTAAATAAAAGAAAATAATATTATCACTGTTTAATAAAGTTTTAGTTGGAGACGCCACATGAAGAATAAAAATATTCTCTACGTAATTTATGTTAATTTTTTAACCAAAGTATTTTCGGGATGATCATTTCATGTCATTTCTAAAAATACCCTTTTTGGTGGGGTGAGGGTGGGGGAAGGTACAGAAGCCCATGCAGAGGGGTCACCGACCTATTTCGTTTTAATTTTCACTTTTCGATTGCTTTCATGAAATTTAAACTGACTTACCAACAGGTCCAAAAAGATGCGCAATTAGCCTATCCGGCAGCGTAATCGACTGAACCTTTAGGACATGGAGCCTCTTGTGCCCATTGTACACTATTTTTTTGGTTTTCAACCGGTCTTGATATTGGTCTTGCGGTGCCATCGATGAATCCGAAGCAGTTTTTCAATGGAGAACCTTTCACTGCCACTGCATCAGCATACTGCTGAAGTTTCCGTGGGCTTAGAAGAATAGCATTCCACTGTGTTAATCTGTGGTGGTGGTTTGGTAAATGAATTCTTCTACCGCGTTTGTGGCACAGCTCCCCCAAACCGGTGTATGAGATCACTGTACCTGCACGGGTACGCCAGACGTTTGATTACCATACAGAGTCCTTCAATCTTATCGGCTCTTGTCCTCTGGTGACGGACGAATGACTCTGGAAGCCCGGGAGCATCGTTTTCCTACTCTAAACTCTGCAAAGATTTCACTTTCCTCGAGAGTGTCTAAAGTAAACCTTGCGTAATCACTGTGCGGAAAAATTGGATTCTTGGTCTGCAATGCTTCGTGTAAAACTCCAAATTCCTGTTCAGAAATAAAATCGTGTATAAAAGACAAAAGCAACATCTCAACCTGTTTGCGGCTAGCCATTGTGAAAAAAAAAGTAGTACGTACGTTGGACAAACCCTCCTTTGTTTACATTTTGACTGGTCACGTCATCCGAGCTGCGTAGTTCAGCTTGACGTCAATAGTGGGACACGTAACTCACGTTTTCTCCAGGACTTCTCGTCTCACTATCACCGTCGGCGGCATTCCACTTTTTTAGTGCTTAAGGTCCCTTTTATCACGTATCTGCTGTCCATTTCTTGAATGTAGGTGACATCCATTTTGTGTATGGTCTGGCCTCTCTGCCCAGTTGATTCAAAAGTTCTTAAATATCCTAGTACAATATTTCGTCCCAAATTTTGGTATATTTGAGCAGTGCTGGTTTCAACTTAAAAATACCTTTCATACAGCGGACTACTAGTGGGTGTTGTCTAATCTTGACTTCATCCTTCATAGGAAGGACAGAGGACGCGCTGTGTTCATAGCACTATAACCCAACCCTGCTCCGTATAAAGAAACAATAAATTCAATGCCACTAGTTATACCAGGCTCAAAAACTTCAATGTTCCTTTCTCTACAGTACTGTTACCATTTGGTAAGGTAAGTTTGGTATTGCTTGGAGTTACCTTTCCTGCATAAAGCCATAAGCACGTCTTTTGCACTTTGTGACAAATCATACTGGTTCAATCCCTTCCAGATAAGAGGCAATCGAGGAAGTTCAACTTGTGCCAGTATGTAAAATTTGTACAAATTCACCCGACATGAAGTCAAAATTTCTCACTGGACCATGCATTGGGCTTTGAAGTCCTTCAGTTAGAGGGTTGACTCTTTGCAAACAAACGTGTGCTTATTATATTATGTCACAAGTGAGCCAGCCTGTGGGTGACAGAATTAGGTCATAGTCATACTAAGAGCTGACAGGGCAGCATATTTGTTGGTTTTTGCAAAGGCCTTGTATACAAATTCCAGGAGCCATCACTGATTTTACTGTCAGTCATTATCCAATTTGAAAGACTGTAGCTTTGGGGCTGCAGAATTTGTTTGAGGGGTTGCAATTGCTGATTGATGATTTTGCACTGGGCTGGATATACGGCAGATTAGTTTACCGCTACTGGACAATCTCGTAGTTTTTCCTACCTCTGCCTGTCTTGTATGTGTCGTCCTTTCAATTAACACTATTATTGGGTCTGCACTTGTACTTCAAGCACTGCAGGTGGAAGAACTTCCCATGGGGCCATTGCACTCCAAATGGCGATCAGTTATTGTGGCTTTCTTTTTGCAAATACAAATACTGTCAAGAGACATTGCTGCACAATTCAGTTTATTGCCCTTTACACTGACTATTCCTCTCTTACACTGTGGGAGGGTACAGTAGTTCGGGCAATACCAGGCCTTAGGTATATCTTGTGTTATGCCAAGACAAGAACTATGGCTGAGGTCACACTTGAGACAACAACAACAACAGCAACACTTTATTTCATCCCATAATATACAAGAAATAAAAATTTAAAACAATAGTACAGACGATGGTAGGGGCGCTGGCTGCCCGAAATAACCTAAGAGTTAAAAATGCCAGGCAGCCAGTTAAAAGCAAAGATGTTTAAATGTTAAGGTCAGGGAAACGAGAACAAAGAAAACAGAGAAACGCACTCAAAGAGTTAAGTAAACTACCAGTATATTAAAGAGACTAAAAAATTCATACATTGCAAAACAGTATTATTTCCATTTTAAAGTTACCCAGACAATGTACAGATGTCTAGTAATCTTTGATAAAGTGCTGTTTCACTTTGTTTTTAAACAAAGACAATGAAGATAATTTGATATCTTCGTCAATGGAATTCCATACTGATGGACCTTAAAATCTGATATTGAACATACCATAATTTGTTCTTGCTTTTGGAAGATAATAAGACTGTTTTGCACCAAGCCTTGTATTATAGGTATGAATTTGCGAAATTTTAGTGAAAAAAGAATTAAAGACCTATGGCAATAATTGATTATGATATTTATACATAAAGATTGCTAAATGAAAAGTTACTAGGTCCAGGAATTTTATAATTTCAAGAGATTTAAACAAAGGACTAGAGTGCTCATCGAATCTAGAAAAGGTAATTAATC